CATGGCCTGTCGCGGATTGTGTTGTGCTCTATACCTCTTCTCGGCGGTCTTGGTTGTATGTGTGAGCGTGTGGATTGCTTTCTCACCTGATGGATGGATGGATGATGTATCTTGTTCTCGACGGCATATCTTTCTATAGTGCGTCGTTTTTCATTTCTGAACGGCTGTAGTTAGTAGGTTCTTGTTCATTACGGTAGAGGTGGTTTGGGACTATCTTGGGCCACCTTTCTGGTTGGTCCTGGTCCACGACCTACTTGGGACCCTTCAGGACTTGGTGGGACAGGACCCTTTGGCCCCAAATCTGCTGTCGTCAGTTGCATTTCTTTGCCATGCTGAAACTGGGGGGACACATGGCTACTAGGGGCATTCCTTTCGAGTGGATCGTGACTACCGTCTGCACCTCTCGAAATCTCCATTCCTTCAGTTAGTTCTTTCTTTTGTCTGACTTATATGTGATGCATGTTCCATATTGGGTTAGTCAAGAGGGGATCTCGAGTCTGATCTGACCGGACCCATTTGTTATGTCGGACCTCTCTCTGAATTATTTTTATTTATTTATTTTTATCCTTCTGCGTGGATGCCATTATCTAGTCCACATGAATTGCCGCTCCGGCTAGGAGTTCTACCTTCCCTCTTGTGATTTATTTATTTTTATTATTTTCTTTATCTGAACTATCTATGTCCATCATTGAGACGCGTGCGCAGAAAGCGGAAAGAGAGAGAAGGGAGAAAAAAGGTACTCTTTTTGAGAGTGCGAGGAGGGGTAAGAGTGTTCGTCCAAACATAAGCGAAGAGAGGACTCCTCTTGAGGGTTCTAGTGACATCCCATCCCTCCAGCATGGCAGACATCTCTTGTGCACAATGGCAGGCCATGCTGGACGCAGCTGATGAGAGAGAGAAACCGGTCTTTCAGAAACTTCATGATGATGCATTGCAGAGAGAGAGGCAGGCAGAGGCAACAACTAGAGCAACCAGTGGTGCTGCCCAAGTGGCCCTTCTAGTTGTTCCGGAAACCAATGATACCCGGTTGAGGGAGAAGTTAAGCGCTGCCGTAGCAGCCTTGGCCCAACTGCAAACTTTAGAGGATTTTGAGTCGCGCGTGACAACTCTAGAGCAGCGGAACCAACAGCTGCAGGCTGAGATTGCAGGCCTCAAGCAGGCCCAACTGACCATCCCTCGACCTTTTAATCCTCGTGGTGCTTCTGTCCCAATCTTTCCCCCTAACTCAGTCCTCATGCAGAGACCAAGTGGAACTGTGATGAGCGCACGAACTGGTGCCGGCTCTTCAAGCGGCAGCGCCGACAGTTTTGCACTTGTCTCAGTCCCAAATGCAGGTTCACCAGCCCAAAACTCTGCAGTTCCTGTTGGCGTACAGTACAACGGTTCCCTAGTGGACAAGAGGGCGGCCACACTGCCGTCCAAATACGACGGGAAGAAGGATACTACCTCCTTGATCAGCTCCATGGGCTCATACTTCGAGGTATTGCAGACGCCGCAGGAAGATCAAGTATGATCATGGGCACAAACATCGAGCCCGCCGTACAGAGTTCAATTGAACTCCAAGATGTCAGTGCAGATTAACACAATACCAAGATAAGCACGTTGCACTCAAAGCAAGATTGAAGCTCGAGACCCTCAAGGGCCAAAAGTGGAGGATTTCCATGCAGGCTTTGAAGCAACACTTGACTAATCTGTTCACCACTCCAACTTTGGGATGGACTGGTGTCTTGCATGGATGTAGTCATGCGAGTCGCCCCTAAAGGATATATATCTTGGCTAGGACTCAAGGAGCACTCGGTTTGGCGTGAACTCTTAACGGATCTAGTCAACCTAGAGGCCAAAGGCCTCCCCAGGCGTGTGAAGACACCAATTGCAGGTAAGTCTTTTGGATGCAAGCAGCAGCCAGCTTGGCCTGCATGAACATATGGAAGTTCATGACCAGTCCTATGCGGATGATTTTTCTCTAGATAACGATCTAGAGACGGACTCCGATGCGGGTTGTTCTACATCAACCCTTGAGTCTGATATGAACAAAGAAGAGAAGTATAATGCCTTTAGAAAGACTGCATCTGGTAAGGGGACTAACCGCAGTTCAGGTAAGGGAACCATACCTCACCTTCCCAAGAATGCAAAGATTCTTGAGAAACCGGAGGATGCTTCTACCAAACCTTGGGAAACTCTCCGCATCAATAAAAAAGAATGGGGAAGAAGATCCAAATTGCATGTGTGCTTGCATTGCTAAAAACTTGGGCACGTTGTGCAAGACTGTTACAGTTTGTAGGAAAACAGACAAAGGGCGTAGAAGAGTTCTCTACACCAAGAACGGTCAGTTGCAGGCCCCTCCAAGGAGCCTGAATCTGATCAACAACTGCTCTTGAAGCCCGAACTGATACTGCATCCAAGGCTGATGTAGTCCAAGTACTTTATACCGAGCCTTGGGAGGAGTCTAAGGAAGTCAACTTCCACTCTCACCTGGAACATTGGATGCAGCTCAAGCAGCAACGCCGTGTTCAAGGGGGTGTGAAGCTGATCTTCTTTAAGTTGCTTATTAACCATCGATACATCCGTATTTTGATTGATAATGGATCAACAACTAACTTTTTTTCTCCTAACGGGATTTGTAAGGCGGACCCGGGAATAAAGAAAGTGGAACTGCAGAACCCTTGTCGGACCCAGATAGGCAACCAAGAGGTTGTCACCTCATCACATGTTGTCAAAGGTGTGGGTGTCACCTTTGACAAAGATCGCACTGTCACACATGAGTTGAACTTCTACATCCTTGACGAGTGTCCCTTCGATGTTGGTCATTGGCTTGGGCTGGTTAAAGGCCCATTGTCTAAGGACTGCATGGGCGGATACTTAGTTCATGGTGCATGACGCTAGGGGGAACGAGCGTACCGTCTTATTGGACAAGACGCAGGAGTCTCAGTGACTCTTTTGTGTGCGAATAAATTTTGCAAAACAGTGCATAGGTGCAAGGAAGGTGAGCAGTTGCATGTAGCCTTTGTCAAGCCTATCCATGTGCCTTTACTTTTGCTGCATTTTCTACTTCGAAAAATAACTTCACTTCTACCTCTATTCCATCTACTTCTACTCTAACTACTTCAAATTCGGTTGTTATTGCTGTAAATTTTCAAACCGATTTTCTCTCTCCTGATGAGGATGATCCTCCACTGGAAGTCCCAACAAACATTTGCCGTCTGCTAGATCGATTTCGGGAAGTTTTGGTTGAACCTCGGGGGGTTCCCGAACGTTCGGTCAAACACAAGATCGAGATATCAAAGGGAGTGTTCCTCCAATGGGTTGTATCTACCGTATGAGACAAGGCGAGTTGGAGGACCTAAGGAGACAAATTGATGACATGATTGATCGTGGATGGATTAGGCCTAGTGAGTTTGAGTTTGGTGCACTTGTCCTGTTTGTTCCCAAGAAAGGAGGCAAGCTTCGGATGTGCATCGACTAACGTGGTCTAAACCGTATCACTAGAAAGAACGTTTATCCTTTGCATACATAGATGATTTGTTGGATGCTGCAGATGGGTGTAAGGTTTTCTCAAAGATCGATCTCAAGTCTGGTTACCACCAAATTCAAGTTGATCCGGCCGATTCAGAACAAAATTGCATTTAAGACGCGATGGGATGTACGAGTTTCTCGTTGTGCTCTTCAACCTCACAAATGCACCAGCCACATTTATGTGCCTCATGGACAAGGTCTTTTGCCATCAGCTCAACAAATTTGTTTTCGTTTACCTCGGCGACATTCTGATTTTTCATGGAAGAGCACATCAAGCACCTTGAGGAAGTTTTGCAGATCCTCAAGGAGGCAAAGTTGCATCTCAACTTAGAGAAATTCGAGTTTGGGAGGGACAACATCATCTATCTTGGGCACCAGTTGTCCGCTAACGGCCTTGAGCCTGAGGCAACCAAGGTTAAGGTCATACGAAAGTGGCCTCAACCGGGTGAATGTACGCGAACTGCGTTCCTTTTTCGTTTTGGCTTCATATTATCGAAAATTTGTGCCCAAATTTTATGTCATTGCTCACCCACTCTCGAGACTAACAAGCAAAAATGCCACTTATGTGTGGTGTGAGAAGTGTATTTCAAGCTTTGAAAGAAGCTTTGGTAAGTCATCCTGTGCTCCGCATTGCAGAATCTGTCGATCCCAAATTCATATTCGTAGTCACTACGGATGCGAGCCAGTATGGGATTGGCGCAGGGCTGCAACAAGATGGTAGCGATGGCTTGTGCCCGCTCGAATACTACAGCAAACGCATGCCCAACCACAAGGTAGCTAGTTCCACGTACATGTGCGAGCTCTATGTCTTCCGAGAGGCATTGGAAACACTACCTCTTGGGTCACCACCTCAAGGTCAACTCAGATCATCAGACCTTGCGGTGGATCAAATCACAAGTTGGTCTTTCCATGATGTTGACCCGCTGGTTGCATGAGATTGATGTTTATGATTTTGAATTGAAACACAAGAAAGGTTGTTACAATCGTGTTGTTGATGCTTTGTCTTGTCATCTTGACTTTTTGACTTGCCTTGTAAGCTCTTATGACCTCCGAAGGAAACTGAAGGAGGATCTGGTCAAGCACATTGTCAGGGACCCGGACCTCAGTCCCATCCTTGAGCAGATCAAGGTTGACCCTAGTAGTCAGCCTGATTTTCACGAGTGCGAGAGTCTTGTATTCTGACGCAATGGGAAGTTTGACCGTTTGTGTGTACCTAACCATGAGTGCCTCCAAACTCAGTTCTTGGTTTTGGCATATGGTTGAAGTGGGCACTTCAGCTTTGAAAAGACTTACAAAAGTCTTTTGCAGCAGTTTGATTGGTCGGAAATGAAGGGATCTGGTCAGAAGTTTATTGTCAATTGTCAAGTTTGTCAAATAACCAAGGTTCATTGGCATAAGTCTTATGGCCTGCTGAAACCCCTCCCCATTCTTGATGGACCTGGCGAGTCAGTTTCCATCGACTTCACGGACATGGGAAAGATAAGCGAAGGCGGACATTCACAAGTCATGGTCATCGTGGATCGTTTTTCCAAATTTCTTGATTACTTTACCACCTCATACACCAATGAATCTCGTGATTGAAGAATTTCACCAGCAGTACACTCTGCAATATGGCCCCCCAAAAACTCTTGTGAGCGATCGGGACACCAGGTTCATTAGTACTGATTGGAAGGATTTCACCTCTCAGATCTATGACACTAGACTGAAGAAGACATCTGGTCGACACCCCGAGGCCAATGGGTTAGCAGAGGAAATCAACCAGACTGGCATTCAACTTCTTTGTGCTCTAATTGTTCCCAATCAGAACACGTGGGACAAAGAGTTACACAAAGTGAAGGGGTTGTACAATAACCCCATCCACTTTGCAACTGGTGTAACACCGAATCAGCTGCAATATGGTTGGCAAATGCACAATCCTCTTGCCTACTTGTTCCCTGATCGGTGTCGTGGTCTGACACCTGGCATGCCTGGTTACAATGCCAAGTACGCATGCTTGCTCAAAGTTGTTGTTGCAGCAATGACCAACCGCGAGCATGCCATGATCAAACATGCTAACAAGTCGTGCAAGGAAGAAAAATTTGAAGTAGGAAGTTCAGTCTGGGTTCAAATGTCTGATTATTCTGATGAAGAGAGAGTATCATGGAAACTTCTTCCACTGTACTATGGTCCGTGGAAGGTTCTGAAGGTGGTAGGGAATGATGAGTTTGGTCCTTCGTATGTTATTGACGTGCCCCCTCATCTGCGCACGTATCCGATTTTTCACACGTCCAAATTGTTTCCCCACACTGCTTATGAGACTTTTTCTTTCCGAGAGCCTATGATTCCACGTGCTACCAACAGTGGTCATGAAATAGACATAATCGTTTGACATGAAGGAAAAGGTTAGAACAGACAGTACAAAGTTCACTTCCTATACCACCCGTTGGCTGAGTTCTACTGGATTGACTGGAAAGAAATGTTACAGAATGCTCCTCGTGTTGTTAAAGCTTACGAACGACAGATAGTCGCTGGACAGCCTGCTAAGTTCTCTGCAACACTTACTCCTTATGGTCATACCACAACTCTTTTCCTAGTTTACGCTTATGACGCATTTTGTAGGGACTCTGAATGAGTTACTCGCTCAAAGGGACCTCGCTCTTGAGAGGGGGGTAGTGTAATGACCCGCCAAAACACAGACTGAGAACACTGCTGACCTCTGGGTTTTGGCGCTGGAATGTATGCCTTGGTGAGATTCCCGCGTTGTGCTGGGTTTTCTAAGTCTGTGTGTCATGCGTGCTTGCTGGTCCATGTGCCTGTCTGCATGCACGTCTGCCTGAACATGCGTGTGGCCCGACAGGGCACTTGTGTGTTGCGAGGCCCGCGGGGCCGGTACTTACCTGTGGCCGTGACTTTGAGGGTTGCAGCGGGGTACCACTCAAGTAGCGGTAGATGTGTCGGGAACTGAAGGTCGAGCAGAAGAAGACAAAAAGTTGGCATTTTTGGAGGCCCAGTAGCGGTAGGCTAGAGGTAGGCGGGTACCAGTCCAAGTAGCCCGAGTCTAGGGCCTGTGTGGACGATATCAGAGCCTGTAATGATGTTTCCCTCCGAAAGGGAGGAGGTACCGGTTGCTTGGAGGCCGCGCGGCCTGGAAGTCACTGCCCAAGAGGCAAGTAGCCCGCTATATCTCCAGGTAGAGCGCTGGGCTCTACCTCATTTGCGGTATGCAAGTTTGGGCGTCATGCTGCTTGAGCGGGCGCTGGTTCTCAGAGCACTGCCTGGGAGGAAGGAAGGGAGCTGGGCGCTCTGCCTGGCAATGGTGAGCAGACCAGCTTGAGGAGGAAGAAGAGGGGGCCGAAGGAGGAGAGTGGCGAGGTACCTACCTGGCTATGGTGGACACCATCTTCATCACCTTGTTAGGTGCTGCATCTGGAAGGCCCCAGTGGGACCAGTGCCGCACCAAGGAAGCTTTGAGGCAGAGCCAGGCATGGCAGCCTGAAGAGCAGCGGCCATAGCTGTTTTGTGTTGTCGTTTGCACAGGAGGGCAGGCCGTTAGTAGTCCGCCATAGCCTAGGCCTGTGTGAGGAAGAAGAAGACGGAGGCCATGGCTATGGTGGACCTCTTGTTGTGCTGGCAGTAAGAGGGAACTTCGGATATTGATTCTGGTTCCAGCACTCATTGTTATTATTATTATGTTGGAGAAGGATAAGATTGGCGGAGACAAGGAGGAGGAAAGTGGAGAGAGAAGGGGGGATTTGTCATTGGTCTTGCTGGTGCACTTCTTCTTCTTTCTTCTTCTTCTTCTTCTTCTTCTTCTTCTTCTTCTTCTTCTTCGTCGTCGTCGTCGTCTTCTTTTTCTTTCTTTCTTCTTCCTTTTTCTTCTTTGGTCTCTATCTCTTTCATTTCTATGCAATTGGGTGGGATTGTCTTTCCTTGTGAATTTGCACTTCGGAAGTAGCCAGGATCATAACAGCTTGCTGCTCTGGCTATCACAGAATTGGAGCTGTAGTTACTATAACATTAAGTTATGCAACTTCCCTGTCTCAAGAACTTGCTTATCTGAGTGCAGTGCTGGGGTAGCCAGCAAGCTGCTGGGAAAAAGGCTGATGCGGGCATGATTTGCTTAAAAGTCCTTTGCAATTTTGTGTTCCTCCTGTCCTCTCTGGGTTTTCCTTTCATGTGATTGCCTGCTTTTGCTTTCTTGAATCTTTAATTATATTCTGTGTTTTTCTCTCTTTCTCTCT